CATCGAGACACCACCGTCGAATCCATCCAGACACCACCGTCGAATCAATCCAGACCCACCGTCGAATCAATCCAGACCCACCGTCGAATCAATCCAGACCCACCGTCGAATCCATCCAGACCCATCGTCGAATCCATCCAGACCCATCGTCGAATCCATCCAGACCCATCGTCGAACCCATCCAGACCCACCATCGAAAGGGTTGTGGTGGAGCAGCCGGAAAGAGTGGGAAGGTGTCGACTGTCGTGTATAGTTACAAAAGGCTCTAAGCGGCCGCGTGCAGTAATGACTAAACAACTTGACAACTTAAGTCCTCCATTACCTCACGTGCACTCTAGTTAGGTCCCTCTTAAAGGGGCTGGGATGGTACAAAGGGCGGGACCCGAGCTGGGAGGGGGAGGGAGGAGGAGGCAGCCACCCCCTCCTGAAGCCATTGATTTTGCCATTACTCTCAGTCGCCCCTCTATGTCTCCTTCCTGTTTCCCTTCCTCCCTTGTCTCTCTCTCTTGCTTCCATTATCGTGCATTATCACTCCTTAGTACAGCGCTCGTCAGCCACTTGGGCTGGACGGTAGAGAGACGGTCTCGCTTCATGCAGGTCGGTGTTCAATCCCTAACCGTCCCCAAGTGGTTGGGCACCGTTCCTTCCCCCCCCCTATCCCATCCTAAATCCTTAACCTAATCTCTTCCATGTGCTATATAGTCGTAATGGCTTGGAAGCTTTCCTCTGATAGTTCCCTTCCTCTTGGGTACAGCAGGGACTAGAATTTATCGAGCATTTATGCTACTAGTTACGAAACCTGTATATCTTTATTTGAGCATTGCGGCTTTGTTTACATTAATGATACAGTTTATGGACTGGGGAAGTTCACAACCCGCGGTTATTATAGTTATAAACAACCTAGTAGTGCTTCCCCGGTCAAGCTGTTTAATGAGTGTAAACAAAGCCGCCATCATTGAGTGAAGATGTCTCGGAATTCACGTATCTTTTCGCACTTCTTTAACCAATGTTCCAGCGATGTGTAAATATTTCATTCAAAATGATCTACCAGAAATTTTAGGCAAATATCCCCAGTTTGCTAACTGTAGGTAGTAACTAAGTGATTGTAACCTATCCACCGCTGCCCACTGGATGGGGGGCGGTGTGCAGGACAAACATATCAATTGTGACACTAGCTCTCCACATATGTCAGTTGCTTAATTTAGAAACTGTACTTGTGGTCCATCTCGAACTCATTGATGATGTGACGACTTACTGAATTTTGTAACTAGTTCATCAAGATTGTAACTTTCTTAGCTAAATGAATTGTGGGGTTCAGTCCCTGAGCCCATTATGTGCCTCTGTAACCCTTTCCACTACCGCCTACAGGATGGGTATGGGGTGCATAATAAATGAACTAAACTAAACTGAGTGAAGATGTACACGGCCAGCATTATGTAAGCATTTAGTTCACTTACGAAACATTTACATCTTTCTTCAATAATTGGGGTTTAGTATATATTTATTAAACAGTTTACGAGCACCGAAGCACTGCCTGAATTTACCCGCGGGGCCACTAACACTGGTGGCCTCGACGGGGACAACAAACTGGCTACGATCGAGGGTCATAACATAGTAACTTTATGGGTGCAGTTTTGAAGCTCTTAAACTATTAAATAAATAAAAATAAATCCGCCATGCTTAAGAAAAGATGTACAGGTTTCGTAGGCGATGGCGTAAATACTTCATGAATCCTAGCCGGTCGGTCAAGCTTCATCCCTCAGTAGGAAGTGGACACCGAGCTCTCCCGCGCCGCGCGCGTACACCCCCAAGAGTACACAGGGAGCCAGCGAACAGCGCTGAACTACTGAACCACCGCGCTCTGGTAACAGTCCGTCCTCCTACGGTTTCCCAACGTCAAGAAACTGTCGTGCTAAAGTGAACCTAACCTAACCTACCAGAGGACCCAAAACAGAAAACCGGACATTATGTCAATTTCGCGAGCCGCTTATATTTTCTAGTACGACGATTTTTGGCCTTAGGTAAAGTATACGTCAAAATGCGACGTTCTATCAGGAGGCCGGGTTGAGAACCAGAGATGAAAGGTGCTGCCGAGAACTCTGCCTCCACCGGGAGGAGGCAGGAGGCCTGGTCGGCGACCGGGCCGCGGGGACGCTAAGCCCCGGAAGCACCTCAAGGTAAGGTAACCGGCACAACAAATACTGTCGGTCACCGTGTACTGAAAATGCTGCCATTTCTTTACCCTGGAAACTTTGGGAGATTGTACAGAACCCGTACACGTAGTGCAGGGTCTGTAGCAGAGTGGTCTACATAGTCAACATACCCGAGGCACCAGGGTTCAATCCTCGGGTAGGACAGAAACGATTAGGCAAGTTTCCTTTCACCTGATGGGACTGTTCATCTAGCAGTAAGTAGGTACCCAGGAATTAGACAAATGTGGTGGGGTTGCATCCTAGGAAAGATGGCCGCCCTACCAGCAAGAAACGTCCACCAGACGGCACAGCAGCAGCCACCAGCGTCAGGCTAGACTTCCATTACCTGTAGGAGGTGGCTGCAGGTGAAGCATCTGCCTGTGTTGCTTCACCTCCCGCTGGGAGCACATTGGGTGCAACCAGCACTCGGCACTCCTGGTGTAAACCGAGCAGGAGCTGGATCTTACAATCCAATTTTACATTAGTGAATATCCAGTCACTAGACCGTTCAAACGTACCAGTATAAGGCATCCGGAGCTGCCCAGTTATTTCACACACTCGTGTTCGCAAGGTTGTCCTCATAATCCCAATATTGGCAGTGCTGGAAAACGTACGTCCCCGATGAGAGATAGAGAGAGAGAGAGAGAGATGGGGATCTTTCTACTACACAGCCCGTGACACAATGTAACCCCCGTCCTACAGCTGATGTACTTTAAAACAACTGACGGCACCAGGAAAACAGGTTGTGACGTGATGATGACAACGGATTGCTCGGTGTTACCAATTGTATTTGGTCGCCTCACCACTTTTGGGTCAGCAAAACATGGACGGAATCCACTGGAGCTAAGCCATGAGGCTTCCATCCCAGTAGGCCTACCCAACTTCATCAGAAACACGCATTACGACGTTCCCAACTCGTCCCAAACTGGCCCACAGATATCAAAGACGAGCCATGAACACCCACTCACCATTGTGGCTTAAGGAGGAGGGGGTTGAGAACACGGAAGACGAAGGTTGACAGGAGCGAGCGATGGGTCTCCCGTACGACGTCCAGTCCCGGTGTGGTACAGCAGCCACACCCACACACACATATATATATACACCCCCGCGCTCCCCCCTCGCCGCGGTGTGTCGCCCCGCCCCCCCCCCCCCGCCCGCCCGCCCGCCCACCCACACACACACACACACACACACACCCGCCTAAAATTTGCCCCACCCAATTCCCCTCTTTCCCCCCTCCCGGCTGCTCTCTCCCCTCGCGCAGCCGCATGCAGGGAAAGTTGGGAGGGGCCACAGAGGAGAGAATAATCCAGAAACGACGACAGACAGACGTCAAAATGCACAGTAGTCCAGAAAGACACATTGACGTACGTCAGTCATCCGGGGAGGACAACCGGGACAGTCATCCGGGGAGGACAACCGGGACAATCATCCGGGGAGGACAACCGGGACAGTCATCCGGGGAGGACAACCGGGACAATCATCCGGGGAGGACAACCGGGACAGTCATCCGGGGAGGACAACCGGGACAGTCATCCGGGGAGGACAACCGGGACAGTCATCCGGGGAGGACAACCGGGACAGTCATCCGGGGAGGACAACCGGGACAGTCAACCGGGGAGGACAACCGGGACAGTCATCCGGGGAGGACAACCGGGACAATCATCCGGGGAGGACAACCGGGACAGTCATCCGGGGAGGACAACCGGGACAGTCATCCGGGGAGGACAACCGGGACAGTCATCCGGGGAGGACAACCGTGACAGTCATCCGGGGAGGACAACCGGGACAATCATCCGGGGAGGACAACCGGGACAATCATCCGGGGAGGACAACCGGGACAATCATCCGGGGAGGACAACCGGGACAGTCATCCGGGGAGGACAACCGGGACAGTCATCCGGGGAGGACAACCGGGACAGTCATCCGGGGAGGACAACCGGGACAGTCATCCGGGGAGGACAACTGGGACAGTCATCCGGGGAGGACAACCGGGACAGTCATCCGGGGAGGACAACCGGGACAATCATCCGGGGAGGACAACCGGGACAGTCATCCGGGGAGGACAACCGGGACAGTCAACCGGGGAGGACAACCGGGACAGTCATCCGGGGAGGACAACCGGGACAGTCAACCGGGGAGGACAACCGGGACAGTCAACCGGGGGGGACAACCGGGACAGTCATCCGGGGGGGACAACCGGGACAGTCATCCGGGGAGGACAACCGGGACAGTCATCCGGGGAGGACAACCGGGACAGTCATCCGGGGAGGACAACCGGGACAGTCATCCGGGGAGGACAACCGGGACAGTCAACCGGGGAGGACAACCGGGACAGTCATCCGGGGAGGACAACCGGGACAGTCATCCGGGGAGGACAACCGGGACAGTCATCCGGGGAGGACAACCGGGACAGTCATCCGGGGAGGACAACCAGGACAGTCAACCGGGGAGGACAAGTGGGACAGTCAACCGGGGAGGACAACTGGGACAGTCAACCGGGGAGGACAACTGGGACAGTCATCCGGGGAGGACAACCGGGACAGTCAACCGGGGAGGACAACTGGGACAGTCATCTGGGGAGGACAACTGGGACAGTCATCCGGGGAGGACAACTGGGACAGGCAGAACATTCAAATAAAAATCGGAAAGTACCCAGAAATAGACGGTAACCTCTCAGAGACAGGAATATATGCAGGACCAGAGAAACACAACAGAGACCGACATGACATCCAAATACGGTACAGACGGGCAACAAACCAAACGCCCCAGAGACGGATCAAGACAAACATAAAGGTGGTGGTCGTGTTAACTAATGAGCAGGACTGACAGTACTACAGTCTTGCTAATTAGTAACAAGAAGGAACCTTTCATCAGACAGCCTTTATTGCTTAATTGCGCCAGGGGGAATAATTTCCCGACGATCATATGATGTGGTCCATATAGTGTGTGGGAGAGGGCGGCGGTGGCCCAGCGTGGAGGAGGGTGGCGGTGGCCAGCCTGTGGGCGGTAGGGCACCCTTATATCCCTCCCCCAAAGTTTAATAGAATCTTTATACAAATTGAAAAAAAATTCTGTATATACAAGAGGTCTTACATTCTTGTACAGCCACTAGCAGTATATCATTTCGGGCAAGTCCTTAATCATAATTTTCGTCGGAATACGACCGCCAAATCCTTTAACAACCAGTTACCCATTCACTGCTGGGTGAACAGAGGCTACAGTTAAGGATTGGCGCCCAGTCAATCCTGCCCAGCAATGATACGAACCCAGGCCAAATCGGTCTCAAAGCGAGGGGTGAGTGTCTTACCACTGTGCCACGGGGACTGCAAGATTATCATACAGTGACACCTGGGAACGCACAGCAACATGCTTCCGAGTGAGTAAAAGTCACAGCAAAAGTCTCAGCCATAGAAGAAGCGAAGCCATGATTGGTGGATCACGACGACACGTTGTCAGTCGCAAGTTGCAGCTGATGCTGGAAGAATGGGAAGTCATCACAGAACAAAGCGCGAGATCGTCAAGGACGGAGAAAACGTCAGAGGGAAGGGAGGGAGGAAGACCATCGAGGGCCACCAGGAAAAAGAGTAGTGCTCAGAACACAACCTTGGAGAACACCTTCATATTGTCGAGTGTCAGAGGAAGTGGTAATAAGTCATTATAAACAAGTGACGAGAGGAAGCGTTGAAGGAAAAATGGTAGAGTGCTACGAAGGGCAAAAAAATGTAGTTGGGATAAAATATTATATCTTCAGGTGGTGTCATAAGAGTTTTCCAGTCAAAAAGAACGGCAACAACGGACGTATTCGCAGCAAAGGCAATACGAATGTAGGCCTGTAAGTCCACTACGATATCAGTTGTGTAACGTCACTCGCAAAACCCAAACCGAGAGGAAGAGAGGTGGCGATATGTTCTAAGAACCACATGGGACTTACATTACCCACATGTTCAAAAAGAGTCTGCACACGCGCACACATGCAGAGCTCAAGGCATTGGGGGCGAAAATTCTTCGGGAAAGTCCCTTGAGCACTGAGTTTCCAAATGGGAAGAACAACCTCCTCAAACCAGTCCTCGGAGACTGATGTCGCCTCCTAAATACGGTTATAGATATCCAGCAAATACTGAAAGGTGCACTGAGGCATCTCGTAATGAATGTCGTCTGAGCCTGCTGCCGTAGAACTGCAGAGGATCGGGGCAGACTGGAGTGCTGAAAGAGAGGAGAGATCATTACAGGGGAGCAGTAGGCGAGTGCGAAAGTCCAAGGGGACGAGATTCCGTATGGGGCTTACGAGCAAGTAGGAGGAAGACAAGTACCGGAGCTAACAGCTACAAAGTGCGAACCCAGTTCCTTCGCGACCAGCACCCGGTCTGCCATGGCAGAACCATGGAGATGAAGGTTAGGTGATGTGTCTGGAACAAATTTACCTGCAATTTTACAGACTTTCTTCTAGATCTGAGGGAGAGGGTTGTCAACCATAATGGTGGAGAGAGAAGATTTCCAACTTTCACGTTAAGCTGTATGGATGTCTATTGGGCAGTGTACTCTTCTTCCGAAACAAAAATGAATCAGGAGTCTTACGGCGTCGGCGTCTTTTCCAGGATGCTCAATTCTTACTGCCTTAGCACAGTAAGAATTCCACCAGAGGAACGTTCTTCCGTGTGCCACACGGGAGGCATAGCGAGGGACAGTGACAGGCAGAATCTAATAAGGTGCCGTGAAAAAGAGGAGGGCTTGAGGGAGAGGCAGATTGGATAGGTCAGAAAGAGTAGTGTGGTGGGTGAACCTATTTCAGTCGGCCTTATCAAACCACCACAGAGGGAAAGAAAGATGAAGGCGGAAAGAAATGAAGATTACGAATATACACTAACTTTAGTATCTTTAGATTTAACAAGATGATTATGTGCGCGTAAATCACCAAGTTGTGCACGTTCGTGACGTATATTAAAATAATTACGCTACATGGCAGGGCCAAACAAATCATGGAACGTAGCAGTGTTTGAAGGAATCCTGCATGTTCGGGTGCAGTGATGGTGCCGTGATCCTCCCCACATTAAGGAGGGGTAAAAGGCACAGTTTTCACGATGACGGCCGGGGCCTTGGAGCCCAGTCACTGACTCGGAGGTCTAGTTGCCTGTCCCACGAACCCGTGTTTGAGAAATCGTTCCAATTACCGTGCATCATTTTGTTTAAGTTTAGTCCCTGGAACCTAAGGATACAATATATTGTACATTCTCCTACACCGGTGCAAAGACCACTTTCTCCCCCTCGCCCCAGCCTGGTCACCCAGCCTCCGAGGGCGGCTCCTGACGGGCGATCTCTCCAACGGGTGGTTCTATGACCTGAACAGGAACCTTTCGTTTGTTCCATTTTGTATGTACGACGTCCGAAGATGGGCAGGGAAGGGCCGAGGCAACCCTCACCAGCCACAAGGAATCGTACACGAGCCTCTACATCACAAGGGGAAACACCCGAGGAGGTCGTTTTCTTTCTATAGAGTAATTTGAGTTTTATATGAGGTTTCAGATTTTACATTTTCGCTTTTCCCCATAGCGCAGGAACGAACATATCTTCATTAAACAGGTTTTCTGTGGGTCACTGAAGGACCTGACTAGCATCATTTTGAAGATTTGTCGTGTCCTTTATCTTGTCTACTATCATGAAAATCCTCGTGTCATCTGTGAAAGATGATACGATACCATCGCTCGTGTCCTTGTCCATGTCTGATATGAGAATGATAAATACCGGAGCAAGTACGGTACATTGTGCGTGTGTTGAAGGGGGGGGGGGGGGGGACAGAGCTCTTCACGGCGAACGATCCGGATTATATTTTGCCGTTATACTCTAGGTTCTGCTCGTTAGGAAATTAAAGATTTCTTCCCACTTTCCAGTAATTCCTTTAGTGCGCAAACGCTCCCAATGTGGCAGCCTTGTCCAACCCGGCCTCCTAATAGAACGTCGCGTTTTGATATATACTTTACCAAAGGTCAAAAGTTGTCGTACTAGAAAATATAGGCGGCTCGCGAAATTGACATACTGTTCTGGAGTCTCTGGTGGGTTAGGATAAGGACAGTTTAGTACGG